GAGGCCCTTCTTAAACAGCCATGAGAAAGGGCCCTCCGCTGTACCAAGTCTTCTAAGCCCTAGGCAACTGTGGCACCTGGAAGTGCCCCTGGGGGTCCCCCGCAGCCGAGTGTGGTGATGGAGGAAGGGCAGGCCAGGCCAAGCATGAAGAATAAACCATTTTATTGGGCTCAGACTAGAAATCCATGGGTCTTGAGGACCTCTGTGAATTTGTCAGTTTTCTTCCTCTTCGTTCCTTTCATCCTGCTTCCGTAGTCTCATTAGGTACTACTATCTCTGATAATGGTTCTTGGCCTTCTCTTTTCTCTTCTCCTTCTGGGTGGCTTTTACTGTCTGTTACTTCCAGCCAACCTCATGAGCCAGGTGCCCTAGGTAGGCAGACTTCTGCCTAGACTTCAGATGTACAACCTCGAGGGTGGCAGGAACCACCATGTGCTTTTTTTGGTCATAGGGTGGTGGGATCCCTTCAGAGACCTTGAGGTGGTCCAGAGCGGCCTGGCCTCGCTTGGTCTTGTGGAGCAGTGTGCCTCAGGCCTTTGTGGGTTCAGCAGTGGTAGGGGCCGCAGAAGGGGGTTGGTGTTTATCTGTTTGCAGAGGAAGGTCATGCAATTCAGTTTATTTCTGTAGAAATTGCCAGAGACGCTGATGCCCTCACAGCACAGGACCACAGCCTTCTGGCCCAGAAGCACCTGCTCGGCCATGATGGCTTCGGGCGTTGAGCACGATGACCTGCCTTTCTGCCGTCTTTGGCAGCCGAGTGGGGCTTATTGCCTGCTTTTAGATTGACTGCTTTTTGTTATTCCTTTTTATTTCTCTAGTAGTTTGGAAGTCTTCTGTGTCCTGTTTATATTCTTTTGATGTCTGTTAGAAATGTCAACAGAAATACCTAGGCTATCAAAGTATAAAGGTAGTTACTATCTTCCTCTGAAATAACGGGATCTTGGAATGCTTTAATTCCAGGCATGCACCCCTCCAATTTATGTGATGTTGTTATCTAGGAAGTTAGTCCTCAGTTATTTTTCCAGTCCCACAAATTACCCAAATATTATAGTTTCATAGAAGCTGTGTTTGTTTAGGTTTAACCACATATTTATCATTTTATTTGGTCAGAATTCTTTTTTGCATCTCAGTTTTTCTGTCTGGATCATGTTTTCTTCCTTTTGCCTCAAGTTCATCCCTTAATGTTTATTAAGAAGGATAAAATTATTTAAAAAAACAACTCTCTTGGTTTTTCTCTATGATACCTTTATTTTTTAATTTTTAAAACTTTTTTTCAATTGAAGTATAATTAATTCACAGTGTTGTGTTAGGCTCTGGTATAGAGCAAAGTGATTTGACTCACTGAATCTGTTCTTTTTCAGATTCTTTTCATTATAGCACAGGGAACTATATTCAATACATTTTAAGGTACTGAATATAGTTCCCTGTGCTATACAGTAGGTCCTTGCTGTTTATCTGTTTTATGTGTAGTAGTGTGTGTATGTTAATCCCATGCTCCTAATTTATACCCCACTCTGCTATCCTCTTTGGTAACCATAAGTTTGTTTTCTATGTCTGTAAGTCTATTTCTGTTTTGTAAGTTATGGTATCTTTATTTTGTCATTGTTCTCAAAAAATACTTTGTGTGTACAATTGATAGTTATTTTCTTTAAGCACATTGAAAATATTATTCTGCTACATTTTGCCATCCATGTTACTACTGAAAAGTTAGCTGTTAGTTTAACTGCCATTTCTTTGTAGGTGAGATATCTTTTGCTGAGAGGCATTATAGCGTTGGGCTTTCCAGGTGGTACAGTTGTAAAGAATTTACCCGCCAAGACGCAAGAGATGCCGACTGGATCCCTGGGTCAGGAAGATCCCCTGGAGTAGGAAATGGCAACCACTCCAGTATTCTTGCCTGGAAAATTCCATGGACAGAGGAGCCTGGCGGGTTACAGCCCATGGGGGTCACAAAAAGTTGGACATGACTGAGCATACACACATACTGTAGCATTAGTGGTTAAAGGTGTGGCCTCTGGAATCAGGCTGTGTTGTATGCTCAGTCGTGTCTGACTCTTTGCGACCCCATGGACAGTAGCCCACCAGGCTCCTCTGTCCATGGGGATTCTCCAGGCAAGAATACTGGAGTGGGTTGCCATGCCCTCCTCCAGGGGATCTTCCCAGCTCAGGGATCGAACCCAGATCTCCTGCATTGCAGGCAAATTCTCTACCATCTGAACCACCACAGAAGCCCAGGAATACTGGAGAGGGTAGCCTAACCCTTCTCCCCCGAATCTTCCTGACCCAGGAATAAAACTGGGGTCTTCTGCATCGCAGGCAGATTCTTTACCAGCTGAGCTACCAGGGGAAACCCCTGGAATCAGACTGCCAGGATTTAAATCTTAGATCTCTGGTTTACTGGTGGTATGACACTGAGGAAACTGACTAGCCTTTCTGCACCTCCATGTGCCTCAGTTTCCTCTTCTGTAAAATAAGGGCAATAATAGTACCGATATCTAACTCACAGCATTGTGGTGAGGATTAAGTGAACTAACATGGAGAGTATTCAGAACAGTGGTAGCACATTGTCAGTGCTAGATGGTTAGCAAAGTGTTAGATGGTTATTTTTTCTCGGTGCTTTTAGGATGTCCTTATCATTCCTGTGGAGCAGTTTCACTATGAATTTCACCTAAATTCACTAGGTGTGAATTTACTTTTACTTAAACTTTTTGAAATTCACTAAACTTTTGGAATCTGTAAATTGTTGTCTTTTTATCAGTTCTGGAAAATTCTTAGTCATCTATCTTCAAATACTCCCTCTGCTCAGTTCTTTCCTTCTGGAACTTTGGTTTGAGTGAAATCAGTGCTTTTCACTCTGTCTTTTGTGTTTCTTTAATTGTGTTTCATGGTCTCTGTGCTGTGAATAATTTGGATAATTTCTTTAAACCTATCTTCTAGTTCACTAGCTTATTTCAGCTGTCTAATACTGTTAGGCCTATATATTGACTTTTTAAATTTTCATACTTATTATCATATTTTTCATTTCCAGAAGTTGTGTTTGGTTCCCAACCAAATATGCTTGGTCTTTTATATGTATTTTTGCCCTTCATCATGTTTGGATTATAAAGAAAGCTGAGCACCAAAGAATTAATGCTTTTGAACTGTGGTTTTGGAGAAGACTCTTGAGAGTCTCTTGGACTACAAAGAGATCAAACCAGTCCATCCTAAAAGGAAATCAGTCCTGAATATTCATTGGAAGGACTGATGCTGAAGCTCCAATACTTAGGCCACCTGATGCAAAGAACTGACTCACTTGTAAAGACCCTGATGCTGGGAAAGATTGAAGGCAGGAGGAGAAGGGGACGACAGAGCATGAGATGGTTGGATGGCATCACAGACTCAATGGACAGGAGTTTGAGCAAGCTCCGGGAGTTGGTGATAGATAGGGAAGCCTGGTGTCTGCAGCCCACGCACTTGCAAAGCGTCGGACACGACTGAGCCACTGAATTGACTGATGTGTTTGACCTTACCCTTTCTTTTCTTCCTTTCTTTTTTGGCTGCACTGGGTCTTCATTGTGGCGTGCAGGCTTTCTCTAGTTGTGGTGTGCCGGTATACTTGCCCTGAGGCATGTGGGATCTTAGTTCCCCGACCAGGGATCAAAGCCATGTCCCTGCATTGGAAGGCAGATTCTTAACCACTGGACAACCAGCAAAGTCCCCTCACTTTTTATTTATTTAAGCATATTATACATACATACGTTGTTATTCTTGTCTGATAAGTCTAGTATCTGAAGTCTTTGCCGGTCTGATTCTGCTGCCTGTTGTTTGGAGCCTCATAGCACTGGTATGTGGACCCCCGAGAACAGGGGCCAGCCTAAAGGTTTTAAACTTGGAAAGACCATTTTTAATCTCTTGCCTGCTTTCCTTCCCAGGTAATCCTGTTTTCTTGTCTCCTCCCCTTTTTTTCTCAATTTACTTTTTTGAAAGGCTGATTCATTCCCATGGTTTAAAAAAAAAGTGGAAAACCTCTTTCCCAGCTCCCAGTTCCTTTCCTACTGGAAGCCTCTGTTACCAGGTCTTGTAGATACTTTTTATGCAGATGCAAATAAACGCAAATTAAAAATTCTGTTTCTTTTTAAAGCAAATGGTAGCACACTACACACATTGTTCTGAACTTTCTAATTTTAAAAATAGTATGTAATTGTAAAAGAAACACATGCTCATTTTGAATAACATAAATACCCAAGTGTCTTCGAGTAGAAAGTGAAAGTCCCCCTGGAATTTTCATTCCCCAGAGATAACCTGTATTATGCATCTATAAATATATATTTACATAAATTGGCTTATGCAACACATACTGCTCCATAACCTATTTTTTTTCTTTTTCTCCAAACTATACAGCTTGACATCTTTCCATGAATCTTATCACATCTGTCAGTGCTCTCCACATAGCGCAGCAGGTCAATGCCTGGACTTTGGAGTCAGACAGAACTGGATTCTAATTCTAGCTCTGCTGCTTAGTAGCTACAGGACTTTTCAGAGCTGCTCTGAGCCTCAGTTTCATCATCTGTAAAGTGGGGATAGAAATAATACATAGTCCATGGTGTTGTTCAGAGATCTTAGTAAGATCACGTATGACATGCTCCCTCCATAGCCAGCTGCTTTATAAGCCCTTAACAAACGGTGGTTTTTCCTATGACTCACTCTTTTTAATGGCTACTTAGTATTCTGGCCTGGAGAATTTCATGGCCTTTATAGTCCATGGGATCGCAAAGAGTCAGACATGACTGAGCAGCTTTCACTTTTAGAATCCATAGTATGATATGTCACTATTTACTAACCATTCTCCTTTTGATGGACATTGGATTGTACCCCATTTTTTGGTTACAAATGCCAACCCAGCGAACACTGAATATACATCTTTCACCTTTGTGTGGGTGTCTTCTTATGAATTCACTGTGGGGGGGCGGAGGTCACTGGGTCCTCTGAATTCTAATCTTTCTATCCTCTTTCTCCCCAAGGAGGCAATGAGAATGGCCCATGGAGTGAAGCTTGTGTGTTACGTAGGTTTTTGCTTTTTATTACTGCTCTTCTTTCTCCCTCTTCTGAGGTTTGGTGGGGTGGGAGCGGTCCTCCCCAGAGACAATCCCAGTCCCTCGCCCCTGCCTTCCCTCTTCCAGAGCATCCTCACTCCCTATGATGTGAATCTCAGACTTCCATTTTTCCCTAAACCTTGGAACCTGACCATTCATGATCATTCACTCAAGGATTAGTTTTCAGACCATCTACTTTCAAAACAACTCCTGGTGACTTGTAATAAATTGGAAGAATCAAAACACACTTAAATGGGATAAAAGTCTAAAGAAAGCGAGAAAAGGGCAAGGAGAAGGGGAAATCTTGTTACTAACAACCCCTTACTCTACCAATCCTGGAAAGGTACAACTGCTAGGCTTAAAGTTAAAACTGAGCTTCCTGGCGGCAAAAGCAGAAAGGGGAGCAGAATAGGTTCTATAGGTCATCAGAAGACCCAGAACTACTCTGCACCTTGAATGGGTCATGAAGGGCTTCCTCTTTGGGTAATAGAGGGATGATCAGTAGGCTTTCAGAGGAGTGATGGATATATTCACCATGTGGCTGCTTCAGGGGGAAAAGGCAAGTCACTGACCCCCAAAAAGGGGCCTGACAGAGATTTTGAGAAAGAGAGGGTGGACTCAGAACAGGATATGAGCCCCTGGTAAGATGCATCTCTGGTCATAAGGGTAAGAAGGGTCTCGGTACAGGGTCCAAGTAACTGTGAACATGGCTGGGAGGAAGGGTGAAACCGAGAGGATGAGAAAGAAGCCAGGCTTCTTTCCTGGGATGGAGGCCAGGCAGTCAGCAAACATTTACTGAACCCTACTGAGTGCCGGGCCTTTTCCAGGCATTGGGAGTACAGTGGGGGACCAAGACACACATGCTGTCTGTCTTCATGGAGCTTACAGTTCAGCAGGGAAGAGAAAGGACTGTAAATTGCAGATGAGGTTAGTGGTCTGAAAGGCTCTTCTTCCCTGGCAGGTTGGTTCCGAACCAGTGATCTACCTTCTGGGGGCCGTGAGCTACGGCCAGGCAGTGGGGCAGCTACCTCCAAAGCTGGAGGTCCTGGAGGACATGATGGAGGCCTACTCAGCCTCATCTGCCCAGAGGCCCAGAAGGAAGAAAAGGCGCATGGCACGGGGCCGTGTGAGGCGCCAGGTACAGAGCAGGGTCTTTACACTGACGTCGCTTAATCCTGCTGGGAGGGACACATGGGCGTGTGGTTCACGGAGACGGGGCTGCAGCCCAGAGCAATGCTGTGACTTGCCCATGGTCACACAGAATGTGACAGCCAGGGTGCGTTAGGCGGTCATCTAGCCTGGTGTCTGTGTGCTCCTTCCCCTGCACTGCTGAGTTCAGGAGCTTGACTGCAGCAAGGGAGGAAGGGAGGGCCCGTGGCCTCTGTGCATTTGGGGAGAGAGTGGTCATGGACCTTCGTTCCTGGCCAACTGGCATGTCCCGCCATTCCAAGATCCTCTAGCCACCTCTCTCGGGGAGGGGGGTCCTGGTGGCCTCTCTGGCCCCTTTCACCATCCCCAGGAGTTAGTCTCTGCACCCCAGGGACTCCCCCTTCTTCTTTGCATCCTCGTTCTGTTGCAGGTGGGGGTTCGTGTTCAGGAGGCCAGAGCTGAGTGTCTAGGGGTGAGTGCTTCTGCTCTGGCCACGCGGTCTCCCTTGCTGCAGCACAGGTCAGGGCGAATGTGGGGGTGCGCAGGCGAGTGGGGAGATGGTGCCCCCCTCACCCTGGGGCAGGGAGGCTGTACCCAGGGACAGGGCCTCAGTTCCTCACCCTTCCCCCACAGTGTGACCCAGTGGCGGCTGAAGAGGAGGAGCCTGGTGAACAAGCAGGGGGCGAGGACTTAGGTGAGGGGCTGTGGAGGGTGCGCCTCGGCAGCCGCCTGTCTTCCAGGAATTTCTGGGGACGGTCGGGGCTCATGCCCAGCTCCTGGCCTGACCCCTGCCGGGACTCCTCTCCTCCCCCCACCATCTGCCTGCAGTCCTTCCCCAAAGGGGTGGGGGCTGCTGGCTGCCTGGGCTCAGCAGACAGACATCCTAGTCACCTTGGGTCCCTGAGGTGGGGCCCCTTCCTTACCTCCCTAAGCCCCTCAGCCTTGAGCTGCCGCATACCCTTGCCCCTGAGCATCCCCTGGGAGCCCCTGACTCTCTGTCCCTACAGCTCAGCTTCAGCCCCAACAGGAGAAGCTACCTCTGGACACCGGGGTGCGGGACACCGTGGCCCGTGCCATGCAGGAGGCGCTGTGGAGTCGGTAAGGCCTTGCCCCACGTCCTCTGACACCCGGGGCCTTCTGAAGGGCTGCCCTCACATGTCCCACCTCCCAGGGCTGAGCCGTGTTCTGAGGGCTTCCGTGTGTACCACTAGCCCCGTTTTGTCCTATGAGGTCACTTGCTCACACAGCAAGCCAGTGGAGAGCCGGATTTGAACCTGAGTCCCTCTGGCTACAAGGTGGCGCTTTTCCTTTAAGCCGCTGCAGCTCCCAGTGTCTGCTCGGTCCTCGTGGATATCACCCACAGAAAATGCTTTCAGACACAGGGCGACTCTGTGCTGGGACCATCTCCGAGATCTGAGCTCAGGGCTCTCATTTTACTAATGGTGAGACCAAGGCCCAGAGAGGGCAGGATTTTGCAAAGGCCACACAGCAAGTCAGTGGCCGATTCAGGGTTATATCCAGGGCTAGGTCTCCATCCTCTGCCCTGACCAGTGCCTTACCCTCCCACCCCCCCGGCTTCTGCCCCTCCATCCATACCCTGGTTCACTGGCCAGGGAGAGCAGGGGCTGAGCAATCGGAACTTGCTTTTCCACTCATCATGTGGTCTTGGCAAGCTCCTTATCTTCTCTGAGCAGCAGTCACCCATCTGTAAGTGGGGAATGATAATACTTGTTCCTCACAGAGTGAGGAGAGATGGCTTCACGTAGGAAAATGTTCAGAGTAGAAACCAGAGTTGGCCCAAACCCTGTTCCCCACCCCTGCTCGCGCTTGGGCTCAGTGCCCTGGCCCTGCCCTTGTTCCCCTCCCCCACCCCACAGCCTTCGGGAGCACCCAGACCTGGTGCTGAGTGAGAAGGTCGTGGAGGGCATCGCCGCTGGCATCGAGGCAGCCCTCTTCAACCTGACACAAGCCACCAACGGCCGCTACAAGACCAAGTACCGTAGCCTGCTGTTCAACCTGCGGGACCCCAGGAACCCGGTGAGTGGGTCTCCGGGCCGGGCGGGGGCCACTTCCGAGGTGGGAAGCCCTGTGGTATCTGGGAGCCTGACCTGGGAGTGCCAGGCAGGGTTGGGGGTGGGGTTCTCCAAGCAGTGTGATGCAGCCCTTACCCCTGCAGGAGCTGTTTCTCAAAGTGGTTCAGGGAGACCTCACCCCCCATGGCCTGGTGCGGATGAGCTCAGTCCAACTGGCCCCCCAAGAACTGGCCCGCTGGCGGGACCAGGAGGAGAAGAGGGTGAGTTGTCGGATCAGGTCAGGACCCGGTAGAGGGACTGGGGAGGCCCGAGGATGGAGCTGGAGAGACAAAGTGAGGAAGAGGGCGGTGGGACAGGGGAGCACAGGATAGACAGAAATGAGGAGACAGAGCAGGCGGACAGGGAGAGAGTCAGAGAGACTCTTCTCATTGGGGGGATAAAAAGGGAAAAGAGGCAGAAATGAAGGGGGTTGGGGATGGAGAGCCTGGGAGAGGTGATGTCCCAGGAGGTGTGGTCGTCCACTGGCTTTTCTGTGGAGCTGGACTCGGGGTGTGTGTGTTAGGGGTGGGGGGACTGGGGATGATAGCCCAGACTCTGAAGTCCAGGAATATCATCCGCCATCCATGGTGGGTAGACCCAGTGTGATGCCTCCGCTCTAGTTCCAGCCCCAGAAGTTCCAGAAAAGGCTGGACGTCTTCCTGGTGCCCCAGGCCCGGTGAGGACGCCCACAGCCTCCCACAGTTCACAGTTACACTCCCATACACTCTGTGTCTGTGGGTCTCTCCCTCCCTGGGAATGGCTCTGAGACAGGGAAAGTGTGGTGGGCACTGAGCCAGCTTTGGGAGATGTTTGTGTAATGGCTGTTGGTGGCCCAGTGAGAAAGAGGGGGACTGACTGAGGGAGTGGGGCCCGTGGATGGACTGGGGGCACTAAGGCCTTGTTCTGACAGATACTAGGCTGGTTAGAATTAATACGTGGAATCCACTAGGTGCATCTGTCCACTGCAGTCTGAGTTTCTGTTGGGGCACTGTGGGGGTCAGGGAGTAGGGTCATCTCGGCCCATGCAGAATGAAAATGTGAGCACTTTGTTGAGTGATTAAGAATTTCAAGACGACAGCCTGGGGCCCTTCTAGAACAGAACCCTGGGCTACTGCATGGAACCCATGCCCACAAAGCCAGCCCTACAGGGAGGACTGGGCTTCTGTTCTCCAGGGGTTAGAAAGGGACAGACAGGCTTTCCGGAAACATTTCAGATAGGATGACATTGATCAACAATAAGGATCACAAGAAGCAAATACTATGAACTAGACTCCAGGCTAAGCACTCTGTATAAGCTGTTTAATATGACAATCTTAATTTCATTTCTAAAGAATGGATCAACTGAAGTTTAGAGCCAAGGGCTTGCCCAAGGCCACACCACGTTGTGGGTTTTTATTAGTGGCAGCCAGTGGGCCGGCGGCTGTGCTTTCTTGATGACACCACACACTCTTTCCAGGACAGAGAGTGGGTGGGATACACTCTGGGGCAGATTTGACTTGTGGGAGAAGGCAAAGTTCTGGAAGACTTCATGGGGGAGGCAGGGTTTGAGTCGGAGGGTGAATGAGTGGAATATGGAAAGGTAGGGCAGGTGATGGAGGTCTGTCCGGGTTAGGGAGTTGCAGAAGCAGAGGTGTGGAGGAAGGGAACTGGCTGGCACGGCAGGGGAGCCACGGTGGAGGGACCTCGGAGGAGGAAAGGGAGCACCTGGGCTCCTGGTGGCCAGAGTCCCCCCAACCCCAGCTGAGCAAGGGCTGCCCCCTCCACCAGGGCCTGGAGATCATTGAGCAGCTGCAGAAGGAGCCGTGTAGCCTCCCGGCCTCCAAGCTGACCCACAAGGGGGAAGTTGAGATCCTGCGAGACATTGACCAAACGCTGACCCTGGAGGACCTGGTGGTAAGTGGGAGCCTGACCTGGTGGTTACCAGGCAGGGCCTGTGCCCACGGGCCCCAGCCCTCACCTCCCCAGCTGTGTGGCCGTGGGCAAGTCACCTGACTACGCCTGAGGCCCAAGGTTGTCACTGTAAGTCGGGGAATGTTGGTTGCTGCACAGGGTCTGGGAGAGCATGGGGCGAGACAGCCGCTGGCACAGGGCCTGCCGACACCTTCTCAGTGCTGCTCCCCGCAGAGGCGCCCCCTGTGAGGAGTAGTGAGTTCCGTCTCTGTAGTTCCCCCCAACCTCAGACACTCTGACCACATCCCAGGTTGGGAAGCAGGCAGGCCACGCTGTTTGAGGCAGTGACTTTTGGGAATATAAGGAGCAGAGGCTTACTCTACTCAGAAGAAGGACTGAAGGATGCTCCAGCAGGGAACTGCTTGGAGTCCAGGGCAGTCTGTGCAGCATGTCCTTTTATCACTTGGGGTCTGCCCCATCCTCGTGTCCATCCTGCTCCTTCTCCCACCTCGGCTCCTCCATCTTGCACTTGGCCCAGCAGGGTGGAGCAGCCCTCCAATCAATGAAACCATCCAATCCATTGTCAGCCTCCTGCAGCCAATCGGAGTGCCTGCTTGGCTCACTTCAGTCACTCCCAGGAGAAGGCTCTTTTGGCTTTGGTTGGGTGTTCCATTGGTCGGATGTTCACCCTGGTCTAATCAGTTGTGTGTCCAGGATAGGGGAGTGTTGGGCAGGTCCCTTGAGCCATGTTTCCAGGGGAAACGGCAGTGACCATGACCAACAAGAATCCCTACTCTTCTGCACCAGTATCCAAGCCAACAACCAGAATTGCTGGCGGCGCAGAGAAGAGCCCTAAGGGTGTGTGGCTGTTCCCCAACCCAAACCAATCTGTGTTCCCTGAGAAAATGTAATGTAAATATAGAGGGAGGAGCCAGAGAGATGGGTAGAGAGAGTGGTTGGAGAGGAGGGGAGGGGAAGATGACACAGAATAGCAGCCCTTACTCCGACTGAACACCTACTATGTGCCCCTTTTACAAACTGTCTCATTCAGACCTCACAATGAGTGAGATGGGTGATGCCTGTTTCCTGGGTGAGGCACCTCAAACCCAAGGTCGCTTGGTTGGCAGTGGGGGAGACTGGCACCCAGGCTGTCTGACTCCAAAACCTGAGTCTTGTCCAGTGGTGGTTTTAAGGCAAAAGTAAGTTTCAAGATCTTTTCAAATCTTCCTAAAGAAATGTTCGCTGTGTGTTTAAAGCTGGTTCTATTGTAAGGTAAAAGGCTGATTTAGCAATGGGCATTAGGACTTTAAAAATGTTCATTCTCTCTGATTCTGTCATCTGCTTATGAGACCTCATCCTAAGGAGGTAAATTTAAAGTTTAGGAAAATACTTTCTGCTCAAGGATGTCCTCAGTGTTATTTGTAATAGTGGAAGCCTGGGTATGACTCAGTTGTCATTCAACAGTGCGACAGTGGTGATGCGCACACTCCAGTCCACCCCATGAGTGCAGTGTCTACAGGGATCATAAAGCATGGCATATATGCCTCTGCTGTGGTTCATGGACAAAATGAAAAGACAGGCTTGCATATATGATCCCAGCCCCATTTTTTTTAAGTAATTTATTTATGTATTTGGCTGTGTCAGGTCTTAACTGCCTTAGGGATCTTCATTACAGCTTGCTGGCTTCTCTAGTTGTGGTGTGTGGGCTTAGTGGCCCTGTGTCATGTAGGATCTTAGTTCCCCGACTAGGGATCAAATCTACATCCCCTGCAGTAGAAGCCAGATTGTTAACCACTGGACCACCAGGGAAGTCCCCCAGCTCTTTTAGTAAAAGGATTCCCAAAACTATGGGTATAGATAAGCTATTATAAAGGAATACCCCAAATATCAGCAGTTGCTTCTGAATGGTGAGACAAGGAGTGATTTTTTGTGTTTTTTTAAAAATTTTCAAATTCTCTGTGTTTCCTAAATTTTTTGTAACAAGTTTGTGGTACTTTTGTAATTAAAGAATATATTATGCTGATGCTGTCTGGAACTTTCTGGACAGCATCTGCCCAGCTAAGGCCAAGGTAACCACCCAACTGTGAGACACCTCTCCTCCTAGCACCATCCCCCCAGCCCTGAGCTCTCTTTTGCTCCAGTTCTGGAGCAGAGGCCTGGTTTACGGTATCCAGATCCAGTTCCCCTGGTAACTGCAGAACTATTGTGTGACCCTAGGCAAGTCCCTCTGTTTCTGCGTCTGGAAAATGGGGACACTGTTCCTCACACGGCTCTCAGAGATTCAGATGAGACGAGGGGTGTTTGTTTAGAAACATAAAACCACATCGCTGAAGCCCCCATACACCAGGAGGCCTCCTGACTTCCCCAGCCACCTTCCCAGCCCACCCCCTCTCTCCTCTTGTGCCTCCCAGGGACCCATGGTATCCACAGACGGTGGCCCGCTGGCCCTGCCTGCCACATCGAAGGACAGCTCTCTCAAAGCCACCAGGAGGATGGGGGATGATGCTTTCCAGAGAGCCCCAAGCCAAGTCCCTGTGTCCTTTCCAGATACGCCCCCAAACAAGAAGAAGCCTCCAGCAGAGTGCAAGGACAGGTGTGGGGAAGTGGGCAAGGGGATGGGCAACCCAGCAGGGTGGGTAGGCGAGGCACCCATTGGGGCAGCAGACAAAGTCTGGGCTTTTCCATATGGCCTTGGGCAGATCTTGCCTCTTGGTGGGCCTCAGTTTGCCCATCTGTGCAGTGGAACTAATCACCCCCACCTACTGGTCTCCACCTTGTAAGGCCTTACTTGGACCAGTGTTCCAGCACCCACTGGGGTCACAGGACCTTCTCTGAAAACTAAGGAGCTGCTGGGGAAGCACTGATGACCTGCTCTGCCTGGCCCTGTCTCTCTGTCCTTTCTTCTAGTCTCCAGATGCCTACTGGGCCCACAAAAGCCCTGCCCATGCAGCTGCCCTGGGAGGGGTCTCTGGACATGTTCTGCATCAAGCGGTTCCGGGTCAAGGCCCAGCTGATCTCGGGACACAGCTGTCGCCTCATCCAGGTACTCCTGCCCTGCTCTCCAGGGACTCCCTTGCACACTAACCAGCCCCCTCAGCTACACACACTGCCATTCATTCATTGACACACTCATTGTTCTGAAACAAATCATCGGCACCCTGTCTGTGCTTGACCCCATGCTAGGCACAGGGGCAAATGAGATGCCAGTCCCACTTCACACATGGCCAAAGGGCTCCCTGTAACCCAAAGCATAAAGCAGGAAGGACGCAGGACAAGGTCTAGTGTTTCCTGGTCAGAGAAAACGAGGAGTGAGCGAGTGATCAGCTAAAGCATTAGATAAGGAGTTAGAGGAGGGAGGGAGGGGTTTCTGAGAAGTTGCAGATTGACCAGGACAGGCTGTAGGCCTCCAGGGGTAATTAGGGCCCCAACAACCTTGGGGGGCCCTGATAGAATGCCTGCCCATCCTCTTGGCCACAGGCTGTAACTTCCGGGTAGCTGGTCCTGAGTCTGCCCTAAGTGGGTGGGAAGTTGGGAGGCTGACTGGCTGTCCTACCTGCCTGCAGGCCCTGCCGCAGGTGATCCGCTCTGCAAGCTGCATCGCCCCTGATGCTGTCTGGGACTTTCTGGCCAGCATCTGCCCAGCTGAGACCAAGGTAACCACCCAGCCATGAGAACCACCTCTCCTCCTAGCATTGTCCCCCCAGCCCTGAGCTTTCTTTTGCTCCAGCTCTGGAGCAGAGGCCTGGTTTAAGATATCCAGGTCCAGTTCCCCCCCAGTGACTAAAGACCTCTTGTGTGACCCTGGGCAAGTCCCTCTGTTCCCACCTCTGAAGAATGGGGACACTCTTCCTCACACGGCTTTCAGAGGTTCAGATGAGACCAGGGGTGTTCGCAGGAGCAAAGCATGCTGCTGCTGCTGCTAAGTCGCTTCAGTCGTGTCCAACTCTGTGCGACCCCATAGACGGCAGCCCACCAGGCTCCCCCGTCCCTGGGATTCTCCAGGCAAGAATACTGGGGTGGGTTGCCATTTCCTTCTGCAATACATGAAAGTGAAAAGTGAAAGTGAAGTCGCTCAGTTGTGTCCGACTCTTAGCGACCCCATGAACTGCAGCCTATCAGGCTCCTCCGTCCATGGGATTTTCCAGGCAAGAGTAATGGAGTGGGGTGCCATTGCCTTCTCTGGGAGCAAAGCATAACTGTTGCTAAACCTGCTCTCCTTCCTGTGGCTGCAGGACGTCTGCGTGGTCAGACTGTGCCCACAGAGCTCTCGGGACACCCAGAACTGCCACCTGCTCTACTCCTACCTCAACAACAAGCAGTGCCATGGCTTGGTCACTGTGGAGCAGGTGAGGGTGGTCCTGCTGCCCCTGCCTGCCTTCCAGCCCCTGCCCTCCAGGCTGCGCCCTCTTGGAGGTCCAGGTGAGTGACCGATGCCCGTCCCAGACCCCGCCTCCCCTTGTTTGGTGACCAGATGGGCATTTCTGACACAGTCACCCATTTCTGTGGAGGCAGGCACGTCTCATCAGGGAACTCCCAAGACAGGCACATGTGAGAGCAGATTTTTATACCACTTAGTATGTGTCAGACAGCATTCTGAAAGCTGTACTTAAATATTAATTCAGTCAGTCCTCAACATTACCCTATCAGTACTATTAGTTTCTTCATTTAACAGATGAGGAAACTGAGGTACGGAGAAAGCAAGTGACTTGTCTAGAGTCACAGAGTCAGTCAGTAGCAGAAACTGGGCTTCTAACCACCACATAGCCTCTCCAATAAGGCTGATGAGAAATTAGCCAGCGAGTCAGGTTTGACTCAAACACAGCAGAGCAGAGGCAGGAACCAGGAATAATTGGCTGAAAGCCAGACCTAAATAAAAGAGGAAGGAGGGATGTTCTTACCACAGCTGTCCTGGGCCAAGCTTGGCTTTTGTGCATGGGTAGCCTCCAGGCTACCCTCCAGGAAAGCTTGGGAGGGAGGATGGGGTATCAAGGAGTGGGATGTGCCTATTCCTGAGCAGAGTGTTTGATGTTTCTGGGCTGCCTGATCTGGAGACACTACGGTAGAATCACATAGTCTGGAGATCAAACTATCCATGCCTCATTCTCAGCCAGTGAACCCGTTCTCACACCATGAGAACCAGTCTTAAACCCTCCTACTTACTTTTCTCAGCCCCTCTTGGGCCCCATCTTACTGCTGGAAAGCTCTCTTGGGGTCTAAGCTGTAGACCTCTTGGCCACAGCCAGAATGCAGTTTCTGGGGGCTGTGAGTTCTCTCTGTCCAGGCCTTTGGTCTCTTCCCCCTATATTTCTCCAGGCCTGGAAGCCACTCACTCAAGCCTGTTGCTGGCTGTGCTGCTCCCCCAAACAGGGCTTCCGGCCACGGAAGGATCTGGCGCCTTGAGGAGGAAGGTTCGCAAAATGGTCTCCTTCAACAGAAAAGTGGAGATGAGATGCTACCAGCCAGAGGACCAGGGGCCACATGTGGCCCTGAGGGGCGCCTCTCCCCCGGGGCCTGCTGTGCAGCGGAGCCAGGGCAAAGGCAGCCTGGCTCCAGGGGGAGTTTGTGCTTGGCAGAGACCACCCAGAGGCAGGGGGAGGCTGTGGGGAGAGCCTGAGACCTGGCAGGGTTCTGGGCGAGGGCTGTGGCTTGCAAAACCAGGCTGGTGCCAGTCCTGGCATCCCTATTCAGCATCACCAGCTGGCCATGACCAGTACCACCACAGGGCTTCCTGTCCCAGCCAAGCCCTGCTCCAGCATCTCGAATCCCTGGTGGCCATGACGCAGCAGCTCCAAGCCTCACTGATGTCCCCAGGACAGGAGGAACTTTCCCAACCCCCTGCTCAGCCTCCCACAGCCCCTGGGACTCTTGGCCTTCTCTGCCAACCCCTTGCAGCTCCAGAGCCCCCTGGCCCAGCCCTGGACTCCTCTTTGGGCCCTACAGATGGAGCTGGCACGGATAGTCCCCTTCCTGGAGAGACCTGACCCTCATTACTCATAGAAGAGGGGTTTTAATTCCCCCACCAGTGCTGAACTCTTAAGTGTTCCAGGGAGAGTAACGGACATAGGAAGGGGAGGGTTAGCTGTTTAAGTTTCCTGTTCTGCTGTTTGCTTGGTGTTGATTTTTGGTTTAATAAAGAATTTGGCAAAGTTGAGACTGCATCTGCTGGCTGGACAGGAGGGACCCTGGGACTGGCCCTGTGTGGGTTGGGGTGGGTGTATCTGGAAGATTCTGTGTACAGGTGTGGCAGAGCTGAAGGGCTAGGGATAGGGGAGCAGGGCAACTTTGCTTATCTGAGGTCCTGGGCCATCACTGTTCCCCAGGGTTCACCTGTTGCCATGGTGGGCTCTGGAAACATTTTTATAAGTATTTTGAACTGGGTGGAAGAAGAAGTGATGGGAGAGAGGACAGCTCTAGGTTGAGGAGAGAGAGAGAAATGAGGTTTTTGAAAGGGCATTGACACTTAAAGATTGTTAGGGAGAGAAGGAGAGCAAGTTGCAGTGGTTTTTAAAATTTTCAGTTACCAAGGTTTTTCCCTTTGGATGGTTGGAGGTTACCACCATAATCCCCATGTCTCTGTTTCTGTGCGTATCTGAGGGTCGCTGTGTGTCTGTGTGCCTGTGAGCATGTGTGTGCGTCTGATCCTGTTTGTCTGTGGGTCTCGGATGTCTCTTCTTTGTTTCTCTTGCCAGCCCCCAGAGACTGATACTGGAGACAAGCCAAGGGTCTTGGCTTGGGAGGTGGACTTTCAGGGTGGGTTTGGAGGCTTGTGTTAGGGCGGGATGGTGCTGCTTTGTTTGGGGGCTGGGGTGAGCTCCTAACAGCAGCTGCAGTTGTAAGGTATCCGTGTGTGCACCTCCAGAGAGCTGCATGGGAACTAACTGCCTCCTGGCTGCCTAACCCAGGGCCCAGAAGCAGGGCTAGCATTGGAGGACAGAACATGCGGCAGGATGCCAGCCTTAACCCCCTGCCTCGGCTTGAAGGGTTGTTCCACTGCCCACCGGTTCTCCAAGTCTACCCACGTCGCCCTGGCCTGGGAACATTGGGACAGTAGTTGGGGCTGTCCCACCTCTCTGCCCCACGATCTCTGCTGCTGTCCTACTCGCGATCGACAGCAGAGGGGGCCCTAGACCTTGGGATGGAGGTCGGGGATGGCAGGAGGAGGCCCAGCTCGGGGCGGGACGAAGTGTGGGAATTTAGCGGTAGGAATTGGAAGCGCTTGCGGGGGTGGGGTGGGACAGAGGGTGGGAACAGGATTGATGAACGGGGGAGGGGGCAGGGTTGCGAGGGCCTTGTCTGGGCCTCCGTCTTGTATGCAAATTACGCAAATTACCATGCAACCTGCGGCTGGATGCTGACTCGGCAGCAACTTGGGTCATTATCTTAACACAAGGCAGTAAGGGGACGGCTGTACGCCCCTTCTCAAGGCCCAGGGCTTCCTCCCAGGTAGACAAGAGAGCGTTTACTGCTTTCCCAAGCACTCAAGGAAGAAGCAGCTCCGTACTCTGGACTGAAACTTCCTTTCGGAGCGTCAGGTTTCCCTTCTGTAAATGGGAGTGATAATGCGGCCCTCTGGCACCCTGAGCCGCGGAGAGGACTATAGGTGATCCCGTAAATTCTCAGGCTGCTTCGAGGTCTGGACAGCATAACCGTCACCCACCTTTTGCCCCAAGTCCATAGCCCCTTGCCTTTTATTTGGCAGAGATGGCCAGAAGCGCAGATTAGGCGAGCTGTTACTAGGGGGCGTGGCCGGTGGTTGCTAGGCTCGGGGTTGCCAAGCAACGCTGGGCGGGACTCACGTTGCTAGGCCGGAGTGGGAGTCGCCGCCGCGGACCTGAAGAGCCCCCTAGTTCCCCTCGGTTTTAATACAGGGCGGCCGAAAGTCGTGCTCTCCCGAGATTTTCTCCGGGCTTGTGCTTCCTCCAGGCAGAACGCCTTCTCTGAGGGTCTTTCCGGTCACACCCTCTGAGACTCCGCAAATCTCTAGGCCCTGGAGCGAGGAACCCTGGGTCTTTGTGCACGTGTCTATGCATTTGCTTGTGCAGTATAGGGAAGAGGGGGGCCGCTTTTGGGTTTCTATAGCAACCGCTCCAGTGTCACCCCACTGCTCCCGAAGATTTGAGAGGTTGCTTGTGCAAATTTACATGTATCTGCATGTCATTAACATAGAGGCGGAGTCGGAACTTGTTTGGGCAACAATCCCTGGACAGTTACCTTTGCTTTTCTCTCATCCCGCCTGATGGGCACGTGGGCCCGCGCATGCGTGAGTGTTTTGCTTATTAATGTTCCCAGATTTGGCTAGGTGGGTGAACTGTAATAGTCACCACCGGTTCCTGGGTCCCCCAGTTACCTCATGGAGCTATTTGAGTGAATCTGTCCAAGTACCGGTGACCAAAGACCGAGTCCCACCAGGCAATGCCAGGCCTGGTTGGAATCCCAATTCTGCCATTTCCTGTCTATGTGGCCTTGGCAAGTTTAGTTGCCCTTTCTGTGGCTCAGTGTCCTCTGTGAATGGGGATACTGATCCCTAACTCATCAGGTTATGTGAGGGTTCAATGAGATGTCACTTTTAGGTACACTTCTTGCTGCTTCTGGCATACAGTAGGCCCTCCATGATAGCTCTCTCCCTCCCTCCATGGAGCCCAGCTCCTCTCAGGCCCCAACCAAAGCAAACTGACTTCTTTGCAGCTCATGTCGTGACAACAAAACACCAGGAAGAACTTCCAGATGTCAAGGCAGACTGGATTTGAGGCACAGGGTGAGGACTATTAGTTTGCCTTTTTGTTCTTCTTGGAGGTTGGAGGCCAGATTGATAAAACATGGACACCCCGCCCATCACCACCGTTAACCACACACACCCTTACACCCTTCTCTATCTCAGTGGCCAACTGTTCCAAGAAACCTTACACTTCTGTCTCAGGGCAGCAGCAGTAAAGTTGAGAGTTTCGAGAACCAGATGAGATTTTAAGGGGACCAAGGGAGTATTCTCCAGGACTGTGCTGTCTGGGATGGAGCAGGATCTAGCAGGAGGCTGTGACCAGAAACTTTGCTTGAAGAGCCGCATAGCTGAGCCTTTACTGGAGAGGACTGGGGGACCCCTGGGGCCACTCCTTTGCCTTTTCTGTCCTCAGTGTCCCCATTTGGGGACCATTATGAACAACTGGGACTCCTCTGCTGTGACTTGGGGCAAAGGGAGGCAGAAGTCAGCTCAGTATGGAGAACCTTCTCACTGCTGCAGCTGTGTAGCAGTGCAGGCAGGAAGTGAGTTCCCTGTTGGCGCTGTGAAAGCAGAAGCTGAGAGGGGTCCTTGGAGCATGGCTGGGATAGAGCAACAGATCTGGAAGTTGTTGTTCTAACTTGACTCTTCTAGTTGTTCATTTGTCCAGTCATGTCCGACTCTTTGTGACCCCATGAACTGCAGCACACCAAGCTTCCCTGCCTTTCACAATCTCCCAGAGCTTGCTCAAACTCATGTCCATTGAGTCGATGATGCCATCCAACCGTCTCATCCTTTGTCGTCCCCTTCTCCTCCTGCCCTCAATCTTTCCCAGCATCAGTGTCTTTTCTAATGAGTCGGCTCTTTGCATCAGGTGGCCAAAGTATTGGAGCTTCAGCTTCAGCATCAGTCCTTCCAATGAATATTCAGAGTTGATTTCCTTTAGGATTGACTGGTTTGATCTCCTTGCTGTCCAAGGGACTCTCAAGAGGTTTTTCCAGCACCACAGTTCAAAAGCATCATTACAGATGGGAGGAAAAATGGAAGTCTGTCATTGTTTCCATTTTCCCCCATCTATAATTGTTCCAGAGAGCCTCTTAAAAAACTGGGAAGTTCTCCTGAGACTAATGTCACCTTTCTGCTCTGGCAGAAGCTCCCTCTCTCTCTATGTAACCTTAACAGCCAGGGTCAGAGAGGTGGCAGAGCAGGTGTTAAAGGAGGAGAGTCAGTTCTACTCTGTGTTGATCTCTTAGTAGTCAGTTGGGTTCAGGTAATTAAAATAAATGAGATTGGCTCCTATCCTAGGTGGCGGATGGTTGTTGGTGGCAAAGAGGGAGTGTAGAAGCTGGATTCTGCTTGGTTGGTTGGCTTCCTGGAGGAGATGGAATTATATTGGGGCCATGCCCTGCAGTTGTCAGTCTGCTGTGTGCAGGACTGCTGTCTGCCGGCGGATGGCAGTGGACCAACTCCTTCCCTAGAAGCCACCTGTGCTCCCCAGGTAAGGGTTCTTGGGACAGGCTGAGAGCCTGGCAGTGCCCAGTTGGCCTGCTTGTGTCCCGCTCTGGGGGCCAATTAAGTCTCCATCCCTAGCTGCACCGATAAACAGTTAATAAGGCGGCAAACACCTGCAGCTATGGAGGCGAATTAAGAGCAACAGTCGGCATAATACACAACCCGATAAGTGAGCAATTAACAACCAGAGAAAGATTAATAGAAGCAATTACGTCTTACTCGGAGCTCTGTAAATACGACTGTCAATGGCTGAGGGATTCAGTTCAGTCTCTCCCAGCCCCACCCCAGGCTGCAGCCTTTGCTGGAAGGGGAGCCAGCCCAGCCAGCCTGTGGATTCTGGACCACATAGTCATATGTAATCATGGAAAGTACGCACATATGCAGACGTGCACATAGACATACATATACAGATATGCTCACAGAGGCAGTCCATAAAATGCACACAGACACACACATCCCTTACTGTCACCACACTCACATTCACACAAATGGGTACCCGGAACTACACGTTGGTCCTGCCAGAAATACACACACAGGAAAATACCCACAGTGTCACAAACAGATATTTCCCTGTCTTAGACAGAGCTAGAGCCACACAGGGGCTTCCCTGGCGGCTCAGACAGTAAAGAATCTACCTGCAGTGCAGGAGACCTGGGTTCAATCCCTGGGTTGGGAAGATCCCCTGGAGGAGGGCATGGCAACCCACCCCAGTATTCTTGCCTGGAGAATCCCCATGGACAGAAGAGCCTGGCGGGC